AAGTTTCAAAACAAGTATTTATTAATACTAGTATAAGTGAAGTCAAATTGAACTAGGAATTCTTAAGGCTAACACCCCTTAGTGTGCACAAAAATCTTCATCAAACTTAACAATCTTACCTTTTAGGTTTCCACCGTTTCATAAACACGCCAAACATTGTTTTAACCAAACCACAAAACAATAGCAATCACTACACAGTAGCTTACAGCTTTACTGATAACAAGTCAACGACTTCCTCTCGATAAACAACCATAAAATAATTGCACTCCACGATAAGATAAACATCAACCAACGTCTGACCTAGACACACTGACAGAGAACACTGCTGTCCCAATTTGGGAACATCTCCAAATCGATATTATTCCCTTACTACATGTAGCCTATTACGCAATACGACACTCATCCATTGAAGCTCATACAGACATTTGTTTATAAATGAAACATCGATTGTATTCAATTTATAAATGTATAAACAATTCGCACGACGCTTCCGCAAGTCGGTCTTGTCGCAACTGAGTGACTGAGTCACTTAGGTTGACTTTATACGGCGACCGGTTCGCGTAGACTCCGCGTCAGGTGCGGTCGATCAGCTGCTCGACCGTCGCCATCTTGTATTATACGCTGGCGCTATCTCGCGGTGACCTTTCAAACTGTCTTTTTGGTAATTAATTCTTTTGTACTTATTCGAGTACCTATGTAATTAAATCGAGCGCTTTTAAATTATAATGCCTGCGTTTTAAATAAATAATTTAGTTAACTAGATACCTCAATTATTTTAAGCTATTTTAGTGAATTTTGTGTATATAGTGTAGAATCTCTTTTTTGCGTTATGGAGGCTTAAATTATGTGAGACTATTAGGTATATATGCTTACTTCATTTTTATTTATGTGTCTTGGCCGATGGACAACGAAGCGATCCTATTAGAGTTCAATTTTTGCCTTTCTGAGATGCGGAATTTGGATAAATATCGTCACACCTGTTTTGTTTATAATGAGCTGTTGAGTGAGTAAAATCATTAAATATAACATCGTAACTAATGTAATAATATGCGATTACCTCACACCTATTACTTGTAAAGTTACAAAATGATCTGGTGTCCCACTGCCTACTTCCTTTCTAAAGTCATGTTTAACATTCTTGATAAGTACGTACAATAGGTACGTACCTATTTAAAATGTACGTGTTGACTATGTAAATACCACAAACATACTTATATTGCATCTGTTTCAATAAAACTGCAGGAATTTTATTTAACTAATGCTTCATGAGGAGAATAATTTTGAAATACCGAGTTCTCAACTCTTTATATTTAATTAAAACAGCTGTGTCAAAACAAATAAATTTAATCAGTGCGCAATTTATAAGTAATAATGTATTTCAACATTATAATACGAGCATCGGTGGTTCAGTGGTAGAATGCTCGCCTGCCACGCGGGCGGCCCGGGTTCGATTCCCGGCCGATGCAATCTCTTTTTGGAAATGCCTGATTTTAAATATTGTAAATGGCACTTTACTTTTGCCTCTTTAAGAAATAAATATTTTTTGTTATTTTTTTAAAGAATACAAAGCGTTCTTTTACACATATGCTTATTAAAGGTACCACGTACCCACTATAAATATTAAACCTTCATTTAGAACATGAATCGTGGCAATAAATAATCACCCTAAAGAATATCCATTATCTACCCTTCAGAAAGGGTGGCTTGACCTTGAACTTCGTTCCACAGTAACCCCTTTTCGAAGGGGTGCTAACATGTGTACTATTAATATTAGTAACTGTTCAACCCCTAGAAAAACCGTTGGTGTATTTAGTTATGTATGTATAATAGATTAAAAGTTGTTAAATCAATGTAAATATTTTTAACAATTAAAAAAAGGGGCATTTCCGATTGGGCTGTATTTTTGTTTTATGTTTGTTACCTCAGAACTGCGTCAGTTGTGAATCGATTTGGAAAATTATTTTTGATCTAAAGGTTTTATCGCTTCCCCTTGTATCCGATTCAAATTTGAAAAAGTACCTCTACTCGTAAGGGTGTCGATTAAATTATTAAGCAATGAAGAATACAGTGTATTGTATTACAATATGTGTAGTCGTGATGTGGACCTTTTAAACTACACAATCACTACTGAGTGATTGTGTGTGCCACAGATACAGAAAAGAGCATAGGAGCAGTCTCCTCTCAGTCTCTCTTTTCTGTATCTGTATCAAATTGTTGACATAGTTATATACGTTAGCTTACATATTTCTAATTTCCCCCCCTCCAACTACCGCAAGTTTCGGCTTTACATAGTAAGGTAAGGTAGTGTAAGTATGTACCTATATTATTTTTAAGTACGTCTTAAGACAACCTACCTAAGCCATTCTTATTTATTTTTCAGTGACTTGTTTCATAAAAATCTTTCTATTTAAGTAACAGCCATGATGCTTCGGCACGAATGGGCCGGCTCGACCGGAGTGATACCAGCAATTCTTTCATTGCCTTTCTCTGAGTGAGTGAGGTTACCGGAGCCCAAATCCCTCCTCCCGCTGACTCGAGCGGGAGGGACTCCAAGGCCACCAAGGCACTTGCGACTTTTGAGTTGCAGGTGTCCATGGGCGGTGATAGTCGCTTACCATCAGGTGTCCCCTGTGCTCGTTTGCCCCTTATACCATTTAAAAAAAAGTAAAACCCTACTTGGGCTAAATGTAGCCTAAGTAGGTTGTTACTATTATAGACAGTAAGTAAATTTTGACGGGCCTGTTGGTCTAGTGGTAAGTGACCCTGACTGCTAAGCCGGAGGTCGTGGGTTCGATTCCCACCCAGGACAAATATTGTGTGATGAGCATGGTCATTTGTTCTGTGTCTAGGTGTAATTTTTCAAGGTAGGTCTAAACTTTCTTTGAAAAATTTACTTACTCATGGCAAAAAACGAGTTTTTGAGTTAGATTTACAGATGCGTGGAGACTTTGTTATATACACGATAAACATATCTATCGACATTCTATATGAAGTTATAAAGAAAATGTTCGTATTTCAAACTCGTAATTCTCAGAAAATATTTTGATTTAAAAAAAGAAATAATAGAGCAAAAGCCGCATACCACACACTGGTAGCTCATTTATTACGTTGCCACAGATAATCATAAGGAATAAACATGTCAGCCGGACGTCCATTATTACGTCAATTACCGAGTTAAACAGATCGAGATCTCGATACTATTCGATGGTATCGTATATGGATCATTTATCGATAGAACCGGATCCTTTGGAAGAATAAGAAGTATCCGGAGTATTGTTTAAAGGAATTTATCTGTATTTATAGTACAGTGGTATATTTTAGCACCTCTGCCAATGTACGAGTACCTATTTTATAAATGCGAAAGTGTACCTGTCTGTCTGTTACCTCTTCACACTTATACCGATATAGATGAAATTTGGTATTGAGATAGTTTGAGAAAAGGACACAGAATAGTTTTTATGCCAGGAATCATCATTTAAGGGGTAAAAGGGGGTGGAAATTTGTATCTAGAATCAACAACCGCTGAACCGTTTTAGATATAATTTGGCATGGAAATAGTTTGATTCTTAAGGAAGGAAATATTCTACTTTTACATACACGCAGGCGGAGCCGCGGCCAAAAGCTGGTTATATATATTTACATATATGTCTAGAGGACCCAGACTGCCAGGCATCATTTTGAGTCATCTAGGTTTAAATTATTTATTCTAAAAAAATACAAAGTCACGAACATGAGAAAATCATTAATACATTTTAAATCTTATGCATCTTCCCCAATATTTTTATCCTACTTCCTTTTTCCTCGTACCAACTTTTCCTTTCATGTTGAACTCCCAAATAGGACTAATCCCTCCCACAAGCCAACTACTGTAACTCCTGTACACCAGGCTCAACAGCAGTGACCCACGGACACACTGAGTTATGAATCTCGGGAAGTTCCAGGAGAAGTTAAACTAACACCTGGCTCCTTCAAGTTAACCTGGCTTAGTTCTGGGTACCTCACTAACTCAGTGAAAGGCAACGAAAGGATTGCTTTAAACCGGGTTTCTGTGTATCACAAAGGGGGAGCGGGCCAAATATCTGCCGAATCATGGTTGTCCCACGGTTGTTATCAGCAGTCACGGGATCAAACTGCTTTTGGTGACGTGTGTATTTTTTTAAATGGGAAAAAACCATTGAACTCGCGACACTTACCGTTACCGACACCTGTGTAGGTATCTACATATATTGGCCCACGAGAGTTGAGTTTGGGTTGAAATACATTGATAATATAACTATATATAATATAAACATATATTATATTACGTACAACATAGATATATATTGATGTCGGAACTTTTCGAATCTAAAAAACAAAAAAAAAACTTGTTATAATAAAAAAAAAACAAGTTTTCACTTCTGTTGGCACTCCGGGAGTAGAATTAGGAATATATCCTGTGTCGCGGGGGACTTTACAAATATACGTACATGAAACGGACACAAAGAACACCCAGACTCAGAACAACAATTTGTGGATCACACAAAGTGTCGTCCCATGTGGGGTTTGTACCCACAACACTCGGCGTAGTAGGAAGCGGCGTGGCGACCGCTTAAACCACTACGCCATCCGTGCAATCAATTATTAGGCATCTGTTTATTAGAGAAGGTTGTCATACATTTATATGAAGAATAGTAATAAGGCTAAATTAGCTGTACTAAATGTATTCATAAAAATGTCGCGCACCATTCCTTTAGCAATTTATTACTCGACTGCGCCAAAAGGAGTGTTAAATTTTCGATTGTTTGTATTTATTTATAATTCTTTGGCACGCTCTTTAGCCTAAAAGGCTTGATTGTTAAATCATCATTGTCATAATTGTGAGAGTGAAACTGGGTTTATGAAAATTATACAAATCAAAACCGCTGGTTTCGGTCACGCATTCGGGTTTAGGCTTTTTGTTAGATTTCAAATACTGGTATTTTTTTTACAAAATGTTATAACGTAATTATATCTTTAAATGCCTATCTTGACGTTATTACTCCTACTTCCTCTATGCTGATCGGAGTCGTGGTGGGAGGTTCTGTGGTGTAATTTTCTGCTTCAGTAGTATGCTCTTCAGATGCAGACTCGTGTGTTGAAGGCTCTTCTGTTTCTTCTTCTTCTTCACTGGCACTGCTTTGTTTAGTAGTATGTTCATTACTTCCACTTCCTGATTCCTCAGCACTTGTTTCAGAAACCGAGCCCTGTTCACTACTTCCATTTAACGCAATAGCAGTACTGTTTTCATCCACTATAGTTTCTAGCATTTGATTCACCAGTTTCAGTTTTTCAATGGGCAATTTTTCTAATTTATCTTGCCACTGTCCTTGACCACAAGTGTTGATGCAAGCTGTCCGGTTGATAAATTTGTTTGCGGTGGGACATCCCCTCCATATTGCTAATTCGCAGAGCCCACCTCGATATGTGTACACTACCTGCTCTATTTCGTTGCATTTCGCTTCGTCCATGACTAGTCCACATTCTGTAATATTAAAATGGTTTTAGAGGTTGGTAAGAAAGAGTTATTACTGCAGACATTCTTTCTCTTTAATTGACGATGGAAAGACACCCTTTGGGACAACATTTGAAGTCTAATGGTTGGTGGTTTGAAGTAAGACGTCGTGGGATCGATACCTACCCAGTATAAATATCCTTATTCGTATCTGGGTGTAATTTATCTATAATATGTATGTATTTAGAAAAATAAATAATTATTTTAATCAATAGTCTCGTTACCATGGGACAGGTCCAGTCTAGTTTAGGATCAGACGGCTGAACAACATATGTAAAGTTATTGTTGTGAAACATCTAATGTGGAGAGACAGACCGACAGTTTATTATTATTGGTTCATCATCATCATCAGCAGCCTATAATAGTCCACTGCTGGACATAGGCCTCTCCTTAGAAAAGAGGATTTGGCCTACTATACCACGCTGGCCAGGGTTGGTATAGGGTTTGTTTCAAGTTTTCCTTCTTTTCAGTTTGTTGCCTTAGTCGGCTCTTACGACACCCACGGGATGAATAGGGGTGGTGACATTACGTATTCTAAATCCGTCACCACGCCACCACGGTTACGGTTTGTAAATACACCAACATAAACAGAACAGAACAACAGAGTGTAATAAGATTTCGGTTCCAGGAGGTCTTACTAGTAAAGCTTAATGAATTAGAACTTTAACAAGAGGATTATTTATCTTTTCCTGTGACGTAACAACAACTACGAGCTCTTTGGACAACAGTGTGTATAGAAGTTAAAAAAAAAAGCTTTAAAACTCTTTGCTACTGGTTGTCGGCCTAAGGCTTGTCAACTTACCATCGGTAACACTCGGCGCGTGGAAGATACAGGTTAGAGAACAATTGTATTCGTCCTCGAATTTGTTGGTGGTTGGACAGCCCCTCCAGATGTCTAATTTACATCGAGAGCCAGGCTTCCAGTACGTCATGACGGCAGTTGGCTTCGCACCACAATCGTCGCTGTTTAAGGGCTGCAAGCAGTATTCTGGCACCACTAAGGAGTATAATATCGAGGTTATCATAAAACGGTGAAGTACGGATGTCACCGTAACTTTGTTTCAGAGAGATAATAAATCGTAAATTAAACGTTATTAAAGTAGCATCGCACTGTTATAAGTAGTGGTATAAGAACTTTTTTTTAAAATATAGTTGTATAACATTTTAGTAAAGCAGTTTTGAAACAGGTTAGGAGTGAAATCATGCGGCGACGTAATGGTTAAGGCCCAGCGCCCACTATCAGCACAGCATTGCATGGCCGCCATTTGCTTGATGACACCGTCACTGATCGCACTTGTGTAGGTGCATAGTTTTGTAAAGATGGCAGATGAAAAATTAATTAATCTCGTACAGTCTTCTTTCTTCCTCCAAGCCTTTTTTTCAAATACATTGTATTTGGTCAGCTTTAACTCTATTACTATACAGCTGAACCTCGACTTTTTTTATCAGACTTCCACAATCCAAGTACTAGGCGATATCGAAGTTCTGTAGAAAGACTCTTGTCGGACTTTTTAGGGTTCCGACTACCTGTGACGATTGCCACCATAGAAATCGGAATAATAACATCATCATCATCAACAGCCTTTAATAGTCCACTGCTGGACATAGGCCTCTCCTTAGAAAGGAGGTTTTGGCCTACTATACCACGCTGGCTAGACGGGTTGGTATAGGGTTTGTGTCAAGTTTACCTTCTTTTTGTAGCGCTGGTGTCCTGCGTTGTTTTGCTCCCTTAGTCGGCTCTTACGACACCAACGGGATAATCACTTATTATTACGATTTCTGTGATTGCCACAGATGTTCATCTGACAACCAGTACCGACGGCTTTACGTGCTCTCCGAAGCACGAAGGGCTCTCAATATGTTGAGAACTAATTACCCATCTATAAACTAACCTGGCTATTATTGCTTAACTTTGCAATGTGTTAACCTATTATAAGCACAAACAAATAATGAGTATTTATTAATCAATCGAGTCCTCCTGAAGCACCTCCTCTTACTAGTTAATATTATTATATTAGAAATAGCCTGGCGTTCAAATTTCAACCTTTTAATGTTACCAGTATAACTTACTGTTACTCTATAGACTTTTATACCATCAAAGGTAAAAATATAAGCTGGACCTATATAGTGTTATGCAGCCATTTTAACAATTTTTTTTAGTTCAGAGCACATATTGTGCAAAAATTATACCTCTGTGTGTTCCTTCCATGAATAAACATTAAATATTCCAAATCCATACTATCCTAATCCTTACTAGTTATTATTATGAATGCGAAAGTGTCTGTCTGTCTGTAGATCTTCACTCTTAAACCGCTGGACCGATTTAAATAAAATTTGGTATAGGAATACTTCGAGTTCCGGGAAAGGACATAGGATATATTTTATCAGAGAAATCATCCTTTAAGGGGGTAAAAAGGTAGGTGGAAGTTTGTATAGGGAATTATAACCGCTGAACCGATTTAGATGAAATTTGGTATGGAGATAGTGTGAGTTGTTTGGAAGGACATAGTTTACTTTTACAGCGATAATATAACATGCACGTGGGCAGCCGTGCGCCATATTTGTTTAAAAAAGGTAGGTGTACAGATTATTTACTTCGCTTATTAATATACTTATATTGTTAAGTTAAAAATAAATTAGCTTCTAAAAATACTTGCCTGTCCTTACTACACGAATATAACAAATAACAGTGAAAAGAAAAATATAATTATTAATGTATAAACTCATTTTCTTTGTAAGTCCTTGGTAAATAGTGTTCACGGAGAAAATAGCTTCGATTTGTAAGTTAATTAGGTAACCAATTGGAGGTTTTAATGGAGTACTTAAATATTCATTGATTTTTAATGATTCAGTACATGCTTGATATGAAACTGTGAGTTTACTTTGAAATAAATTGTTAACTACTTAATGTTTAAAGAACTTACGAGCCCTCGTATGTTATTTAAACATTACGTAAATTAATCGTTTGATTAATCTTTATAGAGTATTTGAAAATTATAAAATAAGAACCGCTTGTTTGTAACTTTCATGTACCTATATATTTTCTGGTATCTCCTTAGAAAGGTCTCTTTTCCATTGCCTCTTCTTTGTAACGGATGGTTAGAACCCTAAGAAGTCCGACAACAGTCTATATACAGAACTTCGATATCGCCGAGTAATTGGGGTTGGTGATGTCGGATGGCGTCGCTCTTCGTAAAAAATCGAAGTTCTGACTTGTCGTATTAGACCGAAAGCCGACCCCAACCTAAGTAAGGGAAAATCTCGAAGGTTGATGGTAATATTATTAATTTAGAATAGACGCTTTTTTATGGTAGAGGGGTAAACGAGCCGGGTCACCTGATGGAAAGCGACTACCGCCGCCCATGAACGTCGCTCAGGAGTCACAAGCACGTTGCCGGCCTTTGAGGAAGGAATGGTATAAATATTTGGGTGAAGAAGTTCTGGTAAGGGATCCTGTAAGATCCTGGATCGGCCTCGCGTTCCTAGTATCTCCATCTTGGCCAACATTTTAACAGGATTTAATGGAATCTGATACAGAGATTTTGTGTTTCATTAAATAAAGTAAAAGCTTGAAAGTATGTACCAGTGACAATACATTACATAGATCGTAACTACATGTCATGTCTTTCAGTCTGTGTATTCGAGATTACTTCAAAAACTAAAGACTTGATATTAATGTGGTTTTTAAACCAATAGACAGTGATTCATGGGGAAGGTTTGTGTGAATAATTAGATTTTGTGTAAATTGGTTGATAAATGACGAAATAATTTAACATGTTTGATCTATTACGTACCTGTGCGGGTCAGCTAGTGCATTGTAGTTTGATAGCTGTATTGCTATATTGGCCATATTGGTCATAATAAAAATAAAAATGCAAAAATGATGATTGCATCGGCCGGGAATCGAACCCGGGCCGCCCGCGTGGCAGGCGAGCATTCTACCACTGAACCACCGATGCTATGTTATCTTGTCCAAAATATTAGATTACTTAGTCAATTATTTTAAGGTTTTGTAATAATTTGTTTTGATCACAATAAAATAAAATGTGTAAAATAACAGATTATTATTTTTATAGTTCAAATAAATGTTTTCAAATTAATTATTCTCTTATAGTACCTAGTTGTGAAGCTAAATAGACCAATCTTTAATCTTTACAAGAAATTAATTATTTTTATTAAATAGCATCATAAAGAAATACTGAATACTTATACTTCAGACCAAGACAAGTATGCATCTTTTGTTTTTTTTTTGGCGCTTTCGTTTATATCGTCAGAGTCAAGAGCAAGTAGTTCAAGAAAATACTTACAGGTGGCGCTATTACAAATATAATACGAAGGTTTACTGTTCCATTCATTCCTTTATTTTTTTAAACACTTTAAACAATGTTTTCATGTAAATCATACAATAATATATTTTAAATGTTTTACCTTTTTAATTTCCTGATATTATTTACAAAGGTTCAATAACTTAAATATAAAGGAAATTTTCAACAAAGCTTTCACACAACCTTAGGAACATTTGATAGCAATTTTTAATTTGAAGATCAAATACAATCAAAATACAAACAGTACAATCACCAAGTCATACACAATTTCAATGTAATCGTTTACTTTTTAGATATTTAAGAGAATAAGTATTTATTTAGCGGCCCATTTAAGAAAAGCCTAGTATGTTAAGTACAGAGTCATCTAGTGATTGTTTGTTGCAGCTTTCGTCAAAAACTAACTGAGATCTCTGATGGCCGCCGAGTCGTCGATGTGTTGTGACAGTTTGGGTTGAAAGTCTTTATTTATGACATACTAAAAAGTCAATAGTTTTCATTTCCTTGGCTAAAGCAAAGGCGAGAATCACCAAGAGTATCTGAAAAAAAGGGGTTATCATATTAAAGTATACACATAATAATAAATAACACATAATAACATTGCCCTCTAACGGAGAAAGTATACAGTTGAATTTGGTTAGATTCGGTCGGGGTTAAAAAGAGGTGTTGAAAGTTTGTGTGTCTAAATGAATGGCAAATATTGATAAAAGAAGAGGGTTTGTTGCTTTTGCTACAGTTTTCGAATTTATAGTACACATTTAAAATAAAAAGCCTATTTTAAAGTATTCAGACAGTGGCAATAACGGTGATTTTAAATTTTTTAATTAACCCTTAAAATTTACGCGCTGGTGTTAACAGATGGCGTATTTCGATTCATTTTCTAAGTTGCCACCTAGTACGCAGTTTCTGATGCATTTAAACACTTGAAAATCGGTTGTAATAATATCACAAGTGCATCGTTGCGTTCCAAAAGATTGCAGCTTAACCTACGGCTCCCAAGAGTTAAGCTCGTCTTTTCTCTGAATCTTTGGAATGTAGAAGCAATCTGGGAATGAGTTTGTAAAAACGATTTAAGCAGATACTGGATTTTACCTTTTGGTAAAGGGACTAGTACGAAGCTAGAGATGTTAACTATAGTCTGCTTTCTTAAAAAGTATCGTGCCAATATCGGCAATCGACGTAAAAAATCTGTTGTATTGGTTTTTTTTTAAATAAATTATCTATGAAAATATGAAAAAAATGTGTAGTTTCCGTGTGGTGACGGATTAAGAATACGGAATGTCACCACCTCTATTCATCGTTATAGGGTTTGTTTCAAGTTTTCCTTCTCTTTGCAGCGCTGTTGTCCTGCGTAGTTTGTTCTCTTAGTCGGCTCTTACGATACCCACGGGATGAATAGGGGTGGTGACACTTGGAATTCTTAATCCGTCGCCAATGGAACTATTATTATAATGTGGGAATATTAAATTTCATTGTTTGTTAGCTTTCATGCCAAAATTAATAACCAACTGTCATGAGATTTTCCTTAGATATTTTTAGAGGTACCCAAAAAAGGAATGGCTACTATTCAACCTGAAACCTGTGAAAGGCTTTTTGTAAGTCTAGCAGTAAAATAATACGTACCTTAGCAATAATTAAGGCTACATTTACTGTCAGAACAAGTGTTGCTGTTTCACTAAAGACCAACAACACTTCGTCCTTGCAACCATCTTTGTAGTAAATCTTCTTAGTTTTACAGTGCATTCTTTCTTTTTCCTGCACAAAGTCCGAACGGTTGGGGTCGTAATTAGGACAGCATGATATTGGCACGTCTGGTGGGAAATAGTACGGCTGCTTCTGGGTTCTGTAGTCGTCTGGACCGAACAAACCGCAGCAATCCAACTGTAACACAAGGAATACGAGCGTTAGCTTGACATACAGGGTATCGGATTAAAAATACGTATTGTATTGTACCTAGTATATTATGCTAAAATATACTAGGTACAAGATAATATTTATATATTGAATAATATGATGAGTGGATGGCGTAATGGTTTGTGTAACGGACTACAAGTCAAACATTTGTGTGCATGATCATTTGATGTTTGATTTGGGCTTGGTGTTTCTATGTATAATATGTATGTATTTACAAAAAAAGTATATATGTATTGTCTAGTACCCACAGTACAATAGATGGCGTTGTCTGAATGTGGTAGAATATTATTAATAATATACCAAATATTTATAAAGTATGTGTAAGTATATCTAGTATACTAGTATATTATGTATCTGTGGAAGCTCGTTATTGGCTTTTCATTATCTTAATTACTGATGTACTGGTACTGTAGCTGTATGCTACTTGGCCTAGTGATCAATAATAATATTTAGACATCTAACACACAACGCCATCTAGTTTCAAACTAAGCAGAGCTTCTACTATGAAAGCTATATTGACTGATAGAATACTTTTTTTTTTGTAAATACATATTATACATAGAAAACACCTTGACTGCTAAGCCGTAGGTTGTGGGTTCGATTCCTTGTGTGATGACTGATGAGCATAATCTTTTGTTATGTGTCTGGGTGTAATTTATCTATAAAATGTGTGTGTTTAGAAATATATAAGTATGTTTATCAGCATTCTGATTAGTCTGCTAACTATAGTACAGGCTCCGCCTAGTTTGGGATTAGAGGGCCTAGTGTGAGTTTATTTTACATCAACTCGCTCTCGACAGCGATCGGCGTTGCGATTGGTGAAGATTTCAGTGCGGGCCAATCGCAGCGTTGAACGCGATCACCGTGACAATCGAGTAGATGTAAAAAACTCTAGTTTTTGTGCAAGGTTTTTCTTCCAGTCAAATCTGCAAGTGTTGCAGAGCTGTGTCTGGCAGGTCTTAATTTGGAACTAGTTAGTAACAATAGGTCTTCACCTATGAAATTGCCGTTTTGTATGCAATAAGTGAAAGTACTTATTTTATCAAACTTTTTTATTTCTGTTATTCAAAGTAATCACCCATGCAATCGACGCATCTTTGCCAACGCATTGGCAGTTTATTGATGCCCTTCTTGTAAAATTCAGCTGGACGGGAGACAACAAACTCTTCAAAGGCATTTTGTACTGCCTCTCGGGCATTGAATTTTTTACCCACTAAAAAGTTGTCTAAATTTTGGAAAAAGTAATAGCAATATTATATAATACTAAATCACCGTTATACAAAAGAAAAACAAATATCCCACAAATATGAGAAAAATAATTTTAATGACACATCTTATTTAAACGTAAAATACTTACATCGAACTGCGTCATGGCCCACAATTTGTAGGGTCTCGGGACGTCTTCCTTTGCCAATTTAAAGGAGTCGGTCAGCGCCTTCAACAGCTTGGCTTCATCAGACGGCTGGACATTAACTGATACGCCTCCGATTAATATTTGGATTATTATCAGTATTACTAAGCCGCCACATGCCTGTAAAGAAGATTGTTTTCAGCTGAGTGCATATTCTATCCTTCGTTTTATATATTTTAGGAGGTAGACTCTTCACTTTGGACTCAAAAGTCACAATTGAGTTGCTGCCGTTTCAGCACTTCCGTCCAGAACTAGCGGGGGTTTTGTGAGGAATTTTGGGTCTTTGGTAATCTCACTCCGTAAAATACAACGGAAAAATCGGGTTGTCTATGATATCACTCCGGTTAGGCCTGACTATATATTTGCCGAAACTCTTGGTAAGTTTACTATCAAGTTTGGTAGTACTAGAGCAGGGATTCCCAAAGTGGTCGATATCGGTTTCCCAGGGGTCGACAGAAACAAAAACTGATATTGGGGGTCGACGAAGTCTAAAAATAGACCTCTATTAATTAACACAAGTTCTTATTTGAAACTTTCAAGATACTGTATAAGTTGTGTTACGTATACCAACTTGTTATAAAAATGACTTATATGTCTATTTATTTTGTTAAATTTTGATGAGAAAATCATGTCAAGTTTACTCACTTAACCAACAACAAAGTTTTTTAATTTATAAGTATTTTGTATGTAATGGGAAAAAAAGATAGGATTTTAAACTAATTTAGCCATGGGGGTCTGAAGTGTTAGTTCATTTTGGAAAAGGGGTCTCTTGCCAAAAATAGTTTGGGAACCCCTGTACTAAAGATTTATAAGGTTGCTCGAATTTCATTTTTAAACCTTGTATTGTAATGTTATGTACGAGTAACTTTAAAACTTTTTAAATGGTGGTGTAATGCCGATTTTGAACTAAAAACATTAAATTACCGCCATGAACCTATTCCTATATATTGGTCTTAGGGGTTAACAACAATATTTTTAGCATAATATGTGACCTGCTTTTTACAAATAGTCAAATAGGTTACGTTCATTCATTTTGATATTGCCACGGTAGATAAGGATTAACGCTATTGTTTATATTTTTAAATATTCAAGTGATAATGCGTTACGTGTATGTAAACTATTCAACTTTTTAAATATCTAATATCCGTATTAAGGTTATCTGTAAGCGATCGTAGTGAGCGATAAGACCGCCGATTGTTACGTCTATATATTTGTAAGTATCTTATGTGTTAACTGTAAACAATATAAATAAAAATAAATAAATAATAAGTTACTATCCTGCTGAATAAAAAGAAGGAAAGTATTGTTTGGAAGAAGTATTGTATTCTTAGTTGTGGATCAATACTCCTTACAAGTAAACTTTAGCATATCTACAACCACAATTAAATTGTCAAGCGTGCGTGATATGTCGGCTGTGTTCTAGTATTGGACTTGAATATATTAAGACTCAAGGTTTGGTGCCAGTGACCTTGGTCCCTCGAGTGTTACACGCTATGCCTTTCAGGAATGGTTTAACTCCTTCTTAATTAAACGACTTAAAAAAGGTGGTAGTTATCAATTTAATCTCATATTATTATTAAATATACAAATATACTTTTTTTGTACAAAAGTAAAAAATAGAGTTGCTTGCACAGACAGCATTTAAAAATCCTTGTGTTCGATTTAAGTTTTTTTTCTATTTTAACCTTCGTCAACAATACAATTGTTTTGTTGATCGAAGATTTTAACTATAGCCTCTGAGTACTGTAGTTTAAAATGAATAAATACTAGCGTAGTACGGTACGCGACTGCAGTTCATGAGGCCTCGGATTCAAATTCATGAGTCATATTTTATAGGGTTTTTCTGAGAGGAAAAATGGCCCCAGTTAGACCCTATATAGGCAGCTACCTGGTAGTAAAATATTATCAAAATCGGTACAGCCGTTTTAAAGATTTACCGGAACAAACAGACAAACAGACAAAAATATTTAAACCGGTTTTTAGGCATAGATATCGTGCAAATAACCGTGTGAGCATGAAAAAAACAATTATTTTGACATTACAAACAGACACTTCAAGTTTATTTATTTGTATAGATTTTATCATGTTGAGCGGTATTCGTCATTTATTACTTTTAGTGGTAACCGCTTAACCGTAGAAGGGACATGTTTCCCTTCGTACATTTCGTTGGCTCAACCAGAGCAATTCTTTCGTAGCTTTCCTTGCCCGGATGCTAGGGGAGGAGTGGACTCGAAGGAAAATTTAGTATTTTTATTTAGTTAGAAGACATACAATATAGCCGAATTAGCTAAATTGTGTATACATTTATTACTATATCTTGGGTTTATGAAGTCATACAATACTACTGAGTACTGATACACGATTTATTTCTGTTATAAATATTAACGACATATTGTTTATAACATCAAGATTGGTAAACCTTCATGGGATTATTTTATATTAACTAATGCCTACGCATTTATTAACTTATTTAAGTAGTAAAAACACGTTAACGATATTTTATTGACCATATATATGGACGACGTCTCGGCCGCCATTTTGTTGTGAATCGAAATTGAATTTTGAATACATATTTTAGAAACGCATTTTTTACTAGTCTCTGCAAAAATATATTTTCTGCAAAAACATACAGTCACATTAATAAGGATATTTTAGATGTGATATTTTAGTTTTTTAATATTTTATGAATTTAACCAAAAACTAGTCAACGGAAGCAAAGGTTGAAGGGTCAGGAGTCACAAACGCGTTGCCAGCCTTTTAGGAAGCTACGCTCTTTTCTTGAAGGTTTGAAGGTCGTATCGGTTCGGCAATACCGCAGACGATAACTTGTTATGTACTATGCGGGATGCAACTTACCAGACCTTAAGATAGGAAGAACTGTTCACAGAATTCCAATTTTAAATCATGATTGAACATGTTTTTTTTTTCTTAGGGAGATGAAAAGAACTCACCATAGTCATACGTGTCGATTGGCACCTTAAAGTCGCGACCTGCATATATATGACCACGCATATGGTTAAGGCTGCGGTCACAGCCAGCAACACCATGGCTACAATTCTACCTGATTGGTCAGCATCATACGCCTTCGTTGCTATACATGTCAGTATCGTCACTATTATCAAGGCAATTGCTAGTATCTGAAATTTAGAAATACGTAAATAAGAATTAATTTAAATCATCAATTTGACTGGTCTATTGGTTAGTGATTCTGAGTGCAAAGCTTGAGGTCGTGGGTTCGATTCCCACTCAGATCAAATATTGTGTGATGAGCACGATCATTTGTTTTGTATCTGGGTGTAATTTATCTATAATATGTATGTATTTAGAAATATATATGTATGTTTATCAGTAGTCTGGTTTAGTAGTCCAGAGTAAAGGCGCTGTCTAGTTTGGGATCAGACGGCCGTGTATGAGATTTATGGTTAGTGTTATTAATTTCCATAATAAGACATTGATTTTTTATCTTACACTCATACACACACACACACACGCACTTATGACTCTTACAATAAGACGAATCTAAAGACGCTTCAAACGTCACAATCCGCAAGCCGTTTTGGCTACAGAGTGTGCCAAATAAAAATATACATACATACACTCATCATACATCATACAAAAACACCTTCCTTATAGCGCAGTTGTGTAAAAATATAGGCTTATTTGAAGCAAAACGACATTTCCCTGAAAGTACTTGGTAGGTAAGCAAGTGCAAATATAATCGTTAATCATAAACCATGAAAAGGTATTTGTAAATTGAAATGAGTTCATGGTGATTGGCAAAATACTATCGCAAATGTACAACATAAGAAACGATAAATGCCACTGTATTTTTTTTATTATTTACTTTCTTTCTCTGCGATAAGGTTGCATTTGATTCAAACGGCGGAAAGGCTGATATGCTTTTTTTAACACGCCTTTACTGCCAAACTAGCTAACAATAAAAACTAATATTGGAAGTCAAGTTTACCGTGTGTGCAAAACGTTGTCATCATCATTATCAACCGCCTATAACAGTCCACTGCTGGACATAGGCCTCTCCTTAGAAAGGATGTTTTGACCTACTATATCACGCTGGCCAGACGGGGCATTATAGGGTTTGTGTCAAGTTTTACTTCTTTTTGCAGTGCTGTTATCCTGCGTAGTTTGCTTCCTTAGTCGGCTATAACGACACCCACTGGATGAATAGGGGTGGTGACACTCCGTATTGTTAATCCCTGGTATCGTAACTAAAGGTATTTTTTTTACATATTTACTCGTAGATGACAATACTATTGATGGATAGTGTATCGTAAATCTCTTCAGTGGCTCGAGTGTGGACCCAAAGGGACGACGGCTTTTTTTACTCTGTACTCTTTTTTTTTCTTCTTAAAGAGCGGTTTTTAGTTTTTAAATACTAACACAAACAAGTATTTGGATTGTCTTGTTATAACCAGTTATAACCGTTATGCTTATGTCCAGCAGTGGACTATTAAAGGCTGTTGATGATGATGATGATAACCGTTAACTGATAATTCAGTACTGCTGAGTGCAAACGTCAACTTGCAACAGTTTGCAAACGTCAAAATGGCTCGCCCCGGCAACGAATAGGTGTAATATACAAAAGATGAATATATAACCTAACTATTCAACTATTCAAATCATTTTACTTTTCATATTCAGTTCAACAAAATAAAATACAATTAAAACTGCTCGAATAGATTTCAAAGTTATCTCGTCTTGTACTAAATTTCACGAGGTCTGTAAAAAATGTTTTAGACTTTATTTGCTTAAAACAAGGATTGCTATTAATTTGTGTTACTATAAAGCTACCTGTTTACTATTAACTATTTTGTATCTATACCTACATATTGAATTAGTGGCTGTACATTGAATTAGCTTCTAGAAATTCGTTAATTGTGATGTTACTTACTGACTTGTAATTAAAATATTAAACCTTTTTGTTAAATTTTAGAACAATTTGATTTGAGAATAGCATGTGACTTTTTGATACCCTATTCAGGGCTGGACCGATAGACTTATAAAAATACTAGCTGACCCGGCAAACGTTGTATTGCAAAACAAAAAAAATTAGGGATGGGTCACCCTTACCATTTAGGGGTATGACAAATAGATGTTGGCCGATTCTCAGACCTACCCGATGTGCACACAAAATTTCATGAGAATCGGTCAAGCCGTTTCGGAGGAGTACGGGAACGAATATTGTGACACGGGAATTTTATATATAAGAAATAACCAGTGTATAAAAGTTAAAAAAAATAAAAAAGATATTTATTTTAAAAAAAGTATTATATAAAAAGCACTAACCACAGCTGCAACGCCGAGCATGATAAACAGGATCTTCAGACATTTCACTATCCGAGTCTTATGTTCGTTCTCATCTAGCTTCAGGTCTTCTTTCCCCTCGACAATGACCTCTACAACTTTTTCTGCGACCACTACTTCTTTTTCTGGAGCTGAACAAGTTTCTGGAGTTGGAGTTGCAGTTGCTGGGAAATTAATCATTTATCAATTAGTTGCCAAATAAGTACACGAATAACCTGCATATTAAGGATGCATAGGCGCAAAAATTCCAAGTATGAGAAGGAGATGCCATTTATTCCCCTGATTCCGGGGAGAGGACTGAAAGTTCGGCAACGCAGTTGTGACTTTCAAGTTGGGCGACGGTACTCAATTACCTTCTGGTGACCCGTCTGCTCGTTTGCTACCCTATGCCATAATCAGAGCATTACTAATACTTGACACACATAAATAAATATCCAAGATGACGTGGTGAGGTCAAAGAGACTGTTTTCTAAAGCCAGCAATTTTTTTTAAATTATATAGGGGGCAAACGAGCACACAGGTGACCAGTTTTTACGTCATTGCCACTTCCCATCGACACCTGGATCTCAAATTTCACAAGGACGATGCGGATTTTTGAGCTGGGTGTACGATTCTTGACGGTTTTGAAATACATAAGCAAAATATGTTACCGATTTTTTTTCAATTTAATCTGTCCTTGCCACAAAATAAGTAATAATTAAATAACTGAAAAACCCGACTACAAAAGGACAGTTTAAAAGTAATGCACTAAAGAGAACGAAACTGCACCAGATCCGTCATCATAGCCCATTTTTAAACTATCAAAAACTTTATAATCAATTTATTATTCCTTTTTTAATTTAAATAAACAATATATATATATATTTATATACATTTTATAGTCCCCATTTCATTTTCTTGATTTTGATACCCTATTAGATAGATTTGATTACACCTATTAGATAGATTTGTTTTTTTTTAACCTATTACTATTTTGCATCCAAAATACGCCATTTTGTTTTTTTCTTTCATAAGCTATCTAAGGATACTTGAGTTTTCTCTATCCAGCCATTTGGCAGATAACTACGATGTAATAAAGAAATTTACAAACAAACACAAGATACGCGCGAAAACATAACCTTTCTGTGGCAGTCGGGTAAAAACAACATCAGAAGGAACGGAAAAAAATTGTTACATACAAAATGTTCTATTTAGAAAAGTTAACAAAAACGTCTTTTTATTAAAAAGAAGAGCAGAAGAATGAATAAGAATTAGAGTTGGTTAGTCTTCTGATTTAAAGAATTACATGCAGGCAAGTATGTGATAGTAATACACATACACAATTTTACAATAAGTAGGTACTCTACTGTATATTGTTATACCTACTTTCATATAACATTGTATTATTTTCTAAGAAAATTATATCAAAACATGTCCAATATTTAGATTTTAAGAAAAAACAAGAGAATATTATCTTAATATTCTTAAAAAGTTCCATTGCTTATAAGTGTCATTATTTATCGTAAGAGTGAATTAATGTGTAATAGGTTTATAGAAGTATTACAAGAAGAATTATATACTCGTGTTTGAGTAAAGATGGAAATTCGATCGTAATTCATTCTTCTTTTTTAAACATTAAACATATTGATATTTAATAAAAACAAACGTTAAATAAATTATGAAATAATAGTAAACTAAAATGACTAATTGTTAAACAAAAAAAAGAAGTCAGTAGAAGAATAAATGGTAAATAGTGATTAAGACTTACCTTTAGCATTCAATTTCTCCGTTTGTCCCATGTTGTCACCGGCGGGAATCTCCTCGAAAATGAGCAGAACATCAGTGGAACCTGCATTTATAGCGTATTAACAATATACTTCGGTCCAATGGTCGAACGCATGGCTTCTAATACATAATAGGAAAACCTCCATTCACCATGGTTTATGTCTGTTATGGATGTTTCAACTAAATGTGCGACTCAGATTGTATTAAGTGTAATCGGAGAATTAAATAACAGTGTGTTAGGTGATCTCTAACTTTTGATTAAATAAATTAATAATACATTAGATTGGTATCACAATAAGTCATTAAGAAAGTAGGTTCATATGTTGTTTTTTTCTAAGATACCGTTTATTAAAGGAAAATCCATTCAGGATGACAAAGATGTGTTGGTCTATAAGTAATATCTGTTATGTATTCAATATGAAGTACCAAAATTTGTCTATGTTCCCTCGAAGCAAAATCAAACTTACAAAAGTCCATCCAATACAAGGGACACGGAAAATAAAGTTTCATTTTAAACAATTTAAACACTTCTCTGGTAAAGAAGTAATCCATTGTTCTATTTATTGTTAATTTATTATTTTACTCTTCGAAAATTTTCTGTGTCGTACATTGAACCCATCGGTAGGGTCCCAATCGCAGTTTTTTTTTTACTTTTAAGTAAGTTATCTAGTTATTTACACAAAAACAATGTTATTTTAAGGTAAACAAAGAGTTATTTTTCCTAAATGGTTCTTGGCCTTAAATATATTTTACGTGATAGCTGAAGAAGTCTAAACACGAGGTAGATAGAACATTTCGTTGACGATGACACCTGCGTTGGATAATCTATACAAATACAAATAAATAAAATTGGAGTGTCTGTTTGTAATATTAAAATAACCGCTTTTACTAAATGCATATGTATGTTTACACGGTACATATGCCAAAATAACATTTTTACAATTTTTGTCTGTCTGTCTGTCTGTTTGTTCCGGGTAATCTCTGGAACGGCTGGACCGATTTCGACGGGACTTTCACTGGCAGATAGCTGATGACATAAGGAGTAACTTAGGCTACTTTCTTTAGACTAACTTCGCCCCGCGGCGTTGCCCGGGGTTATAACAACAAACGCGGGTAACACCGCGGTGTTACCCGCGTTTGTTGTTTTTGTAAAGTGTAAAGTTGTTTGTAAAAGAGACCCGCGGGTCTTAGCTAGTAAACTAATAAAATTCATCTGTACTCATATTATAAATGTAAAAGTGGGTTTGTTTGTTACGCTTAAACTCCTAAACCACTAAACCGATTTAAAAACATCTTTTAGACATGGCAAGCTACATTATCAGTGAGTAACATAGGCTACTTTTTACCGCGATAACCGACATACAAGCGGGCGGTGCCGCGGGCAAAAGTTAGTAGATAATACGTCTGGCTACGTGTCCGATGTATAATCAGCTTTATCTTTTATTTAGTACTAATAAGTAATAGCATTTGTTTACTATTTTAGTCGTATATATGTACGTTCTAACTTAATCTTATACCGATATTAGTTTTAAATTACTTATTTAAGTGTTAAGTTTTATAAAGTAGCATTAAGTATGATTGGCATTTCTAGTTATGCTAGTAGCACTTCTCCAAGGGTAATGCGATATGAAGTCCAATTCTCCTAATAAAAGTTTAGTCACAATTCAGTTCACTTTTGGCTCAAAGCGTACACAAATCGACTTATTTTACATTTGTATATACATATATAGATATCCGTGTGGTGGCGGATAAAGAATACGGAGTGTCACCACCCATATTCATCCCGTGGATGTTGTAAACGCCGACTAAGGGAGCAAACCACGCAGGACAACAGCACTGCAAAGAGAAGGAAAACTTTATACAAAACTATTTCTTTTTACGTTTGGAAACCCATAGTGGTAATGTGTCGTAATCAGACCGACTAAAACCACACGGTGTGACACTCTTCGCCTGAAATAGAAGGGATCCGCGAGCATCTGAAACTCTATAGGCAAAAAACCTCCTTTCTAAGGAGAGGCCTATGTCTAGCAGTGGACTATTAAAGGCTGTTGACGATGATTTATAGAAAGATAAAACCTGTTCTAAAACATATTTAATTGTATTAAAGAACTATCTCGACGTGGAAGTGTCAGGCTTGGATACATGACCCAGGTCAACCGGAGTGGTACCACGGCCTCGCAGAAAACCGGTGTTAAACATTTCCTTACAATATCTTGTAAGTGAGCTTATGGGAGAAACAACACATTCTTATCTATGTAGGAGACACTCAAAGGACGAAATCTTACTTGGTGCTTCTTAAGTTGAATATACCATCAAGTGAATTTACTCTCCATAAAAAAAATACATTATTTAAGCGGGTAAGTAATTTAAAAAAGCAGTCAACGGTAATAGGCTGGAATAAAAATAACCTTATCTTGGTACAGCTGAATGATTGATTAAGTACAGAAATGATTAATATTTATTATTCTTTCATAGTGTACAAACAATAAGAAAAGCTAAATTGATTAAGAGTAGTCAACTTGACTTATAAATGAACTTAATTCAAAGTAACATAATTTCTTAAGTGTTTGAATTGTGTGTGTGATGGAGAAAAGGAACTATTTATTATTAATTTAAAAAAAAATAGAATCCAATTGTTTATAGTGCCTCAAATCCATTATTTAAGTTAACATAAATATGCCTTGTGTATGTAATATATACATTCTATGTCCTTAATATATATTATATACATTGTTATAAAAACTATATAATTAATGTCACACACGCGGCTATCTGATCTTAGTCTAGACAGAGCCTGTTTAAGTTTGTGTTTTTTTTCTCTTCATTGTCTTTTTACCTTTTAGTCCTTAATAAGGGACATACTGACACACATCAAAAAAAAATTGTGGTATATTCAATAATGCCATCGTATCTATCTGTGAATTGCAAAAGAGTGGCCATGAGTTTGTTTGCCCTTTCTTCTCATAAGGCTCAACCCATTGGAAACGGGAGGTTGTAGATCGGCACAAGCATATCATAGATTTTGTATAAGTTTAATTTTTATTAAATGTATTTGCATACTATTTGAAAACAGAGATAGTTGCTTTTGTGCGTGTTGATCTATGACTTTAGAGTCTACATAAAAGACGATTTCAAACAATTTGAATTTTTTTATGAAATAAAGAGAGTTTGAGTTTATGTAAGGCTATGGTAACCAGACTGAAGATAAACAAACCTACTTACATTTCTAAATATATACATATTAAGGATAAATTACACCCAAATACAAACAAAATGATCGTACTCATCACACAATTATTTGTCGTCATGAATGGGAATCGAACACACAACAACTGATTTGGCAGTCAGGGTCACTAACCGATAGACCAAGCCAGTCAGTTCAGTCGAGTCTTACATTTCTTAAATTCTTTGTGTAACGGTAGTGGTAAGTCTTTCCTTTATCAGTATTATTTGATGTTTAATTCTAAAGATACTGATCATTATAATGGTTATTTGACTATAACCAGAAATACCTGCATTGTGTGTGAATTTTGCATTCTTAATACTAACGTGGAAACAGATGTGATGTGTTTAGTAACTTAGAACAAAGACAAGAAATAATAACCCGCATTCTATATAGGTATGTGGCATGTTTTAAAAAAAGTAATTTCTTTCTTCTAACACAAAGAGGTCCAAACAAAAAAAAGATACGTTCACAATTTATATTTGTAACTAAAAATATTCTTTTCTTTTGAAATTTAAATTGAGATTCTGAAAATGATTTCATACTTGGTTATTTTCCATAAATTTCAACAAAAAACTACATTGTTTAAGCCTATGCTATTAAAAATAAACTATAAAGAGGATTATTTAAATCAGAGTAATCTTCTTGGAGTTTTAATCATACCAAGACGGAGAGAATTTATAATTCGAATACGTACTTTTAGACTCATGGAATATACGGATATATATCTACTTAAAATTAACTAAAACTAACCTTAACATCACTTAAAATCCAGATTATAATGCTATCATCTTGCACAACAAAACGAACCAAAACAGGTACACTTAAACACAGAGAACACACCAAACCTATGTCCAAAGACTTATTTATTGTCGCTTTATTTTGAATATATTTTACCGTCTTGCTATCGACAACTAAAGTATTTACCGAACTTCAAACTTCCTACACAATTTAATATCAGTTACATTAGTGTCCAAGTGCTAAATGTTCTCAGTTAACATCTACATTTTAAACTATATTTTTATCGTTATATAAAGAATGCTGAAATTTCCGTACTACAAGAAATATAATCTTATTCTCGAGATTAACTATCGTATATTTATTTTACTTTTATTAGTACTAACTGATGTGCATAATACGTTTATACTATATGTGTCTTCGGCGATAAGATATGGTATATGTTACTTATGTAAATAATGTTTTAAGAAATCTTTATGATTTAAAAATCTGGTATTTTTCAAACTGTTTTTGTAGGTTATATGAATCAGCATGCTGAAAATGCCTAAAAATGCGAAAGTGTGCCCTCCCAAATAAAAAAGAAATTTTAAATGGGTTCACAAATGAGGGATTTTTGAAGTAACAAACACATATTCAAAAAAACAACATACAACGGCATTGAGAACAAATCTTTTCTTTGGTAGTTCTACTCACGTGTAAAAGAAAGAATAGGCTGGCTTCGAATCCCGTGGCGATGAGCGCGAGATGAGAGAGATGGCGCAGTGGTTTGAATGTTAACGTAAAATACTCTTGCGTTTCGTTGTTAATACTTTTAATTCTTAGTGGAAGTGATATAAACCTTTATGCCGTAGTGTTCAGGTAGTTCCCTGATCGAGACTCTCCAATTATCATAGCAGAAATGTCATGATGATGAAAAATAAACGCTAATCCTACAGAAATAGAATCTACTATTTGTTGTTTTTGAATTACTGACACCATGACGAAAGGAGGCGTAAACAAAAACTCGTATTTATATAGTTAAACAAATAATTTAAATTAGAGTGTCTGTCTGTAATACAATAACAGACTTTTACTATATGCATGTGAATATTTAAACGGCATTGGCACCTACAATGAGTTAAAACATTTTTTCTGTCTATTTGGTAGTTTTTGCTAGTTTTCAGAACTTCTAAACCGAATTCTAAGGAAGTTTCACTGGCGGGTAGCTTATGAGGAATAAGTGACACTATTTTTGATTTAGGAAAATTAATTAGAGATCCCCAAAGAAAATATATATTGCAACACACGACCGAAGCAGTCGTTAGTACCGTGGGAAATAAATGCTACGGACATAAACTTAAGAAAAGGTAAGAAAAGAAACTCACAGGAAACCAGACTTAAGCAATTCCATTTCACCAAGTGAGTGATGTTACAAGAAGCCTCCAATCTCACCCCTCCTCCTTAATTATTGCCATTATTGATGGAGGTTGAGTGAAATGGCGACAATGAACTGGTGTCTTTTGAGTTCCTATTTTACCACTTACCATCAGGGAAGGAAGGGAAGTTGTCT